AAAGGATAACTATTGCATTGTTCTGTACACCTGAAACTAACAATAAAATAAATAAATAAATAAATAAATAAATAAATAAATAAATGAAGTGGAGTTCCCCCTGGAGCTTCCGGAGAGGAACACAGCCCTGCTAGCACTGAGCTCAGTCCTGAGTGACCCAACAAAGAGAAATCTAGTTGAGCCACACTGTGCCTGGACACTCTGACCCACAGGCACATTAAATGGGTGTTGTTTTAAGCCACTAAATGTGGTTATTTGTTCCAGCAGCAATAAAAAACTAATGTGCTTGTGTTCTCTAAGTCTTTGAAAGTAAATGTTCTTATTTGAACTTCATGGATTGATGGAAGTGAAATTCAAAGCAGAACTGGGATTTGAATCTACTAGATCTGTTTGGCTTCAAAGTAATTTGTCCCTTAAGATATTATGCTTCTTTCCATGAGGTTTAAATGTATCGTAAAGAGTACATAGTGCTACGTAAATAAAAGGCATGTTTCATAGTATTAGGAATAATATTGATTCCATAAATGGAAAAAGGTTTTGAGAGTAAATGACCAAAAAAGATACTGAAATATAGTAGATACAAAAGTAGTTTTGTTTCAATTTTACTTTCACGTCTAAAAGAAAAAGAAGAGACATTCTTATGTTGTTAACTATACCTTTTAAAAAAATTAAGTCCATTTTTGCTTGTATAAATGATTAAGACCACTTGAGTTCTGTGACTTTGAGACAGAATCACATTAAAGTAAAGTAGGGGTGGACAATTTTATCCAGTTTTTGTTCTCTAAGAGGCTGAATTGCTCTTTTGGTCTGGCAGGTGGATGAATTTTTCCTACCCAAGGATTCTTTCATTGTACACGCATATAGGAGGGAAACAAAGAAATAAGTGACAGTTTGGGATTTCATGTGGATAAAACTACATGGGAGAACAATTTACATGTAAAAAATTCTAATGTCCATCTTTTATAATGATAAATCTTTGGGGAAAATCCATATGAAAGAGCTACTTACTGTGTATGGTAGAATTTTCCCAGCCTTTGCTCTTCAAGGAATTCAAAATGGAGGCTGATATTCCTACTATCTGTTGGCGATAATAGTTTCAGTTTATTAGATAATCATTTGTTCTTTTTTTAAACTCTAGCCTAGATTTAGTATCAGACTGTTGCAGATCACTAAGCAGTTTACATCTAGATTATTTAGGTGAAAGCTACCTGGATATCAGTGATGATTGCTGTGCTCTCATTTCTCTTCATGTCTTCAGTCTCCATGCCTGAGATTCAGCATTCCAGGTGATTTTTTTTTTCTGTGAAACATAAGCATAAACACAGACAAAAAACCAAAAATTTCCTTCCTTTTCCACAGTTTACGACTGCGGTGTTTTAAAAGGTTACAGATGCAATAGCAAAAACTAAAAGAGACAGGTGTGAATGATGATTTAAAAGACACAATGATTTCTTTAGCTCTTCTTGGATGCATCTCCACTGGATCTAACCTTTTCTTTTCCTCTCATCCCAATAGGAATACTATGACAAAGGAGATTATATTATACGAGAGGGCGAGGAAGGAAGTACCTTTTTCGTTTTAGCCAAAGGAACGGTAAATATTAATTATAGCTCACTTAAATCACAAAGTCTTTCCAAATCAATTTCCCTTAAGTACAGCAGGGCTCTGCATTGTAGTATGAGAAGTCTTCTGCATTGAACAGGTAATGGTGCTCCTGCTCAGAAGATTCTGGTGTGGTGCCGTCTGAGTGCTGGGTTTGGGGACACAGGAGACTTGTAATGGGTTCCAGCTGAGACAGTAACTTCCTAGTGACCTCAGGAGGTTACTTTAACATTTTTGGACCTCATTTCGTTGTGTATAAAATGACTGGATTATTTCTAAGGCTCCTTCTAGCTACGAGTGGATGATTTTCAGCTTGCCCCAGGATCCAAGGTCAGGGCTGGAACATTTTCCCATTTATTAGATATGACAAACAGCTGGTAGAGGAGAAGGGACTCAGCAATTGAGGACAGCAATGGTCAGGCATCAAGCTATAGGATGGTTTGGCTCAGGACTTTCATTCATATAGGATAGCTCAAGTTGATTGAGGTGCTGATGAAAATTTTATTCTAATATATACAATAGATCTTTGTCTTTACCTATGTTTTGAGTGGGTAACATGTTGACTCTTTACAATGGTCCTTAAGAGATAAAAAAAAAGCATTTGTCAAATACTGAAAGACAATAAAATCTTGAGCACCTGTGTCTGTAAACTGTCAGACTTTTACAAATGCTCTTTCTTTCATGAATAAAAGTTTATCATCAAAGAGTCAGGCACTGCCCTTTGTAAAATGGTGTGTGGGTGAACTTTGAACTGGGCCCCCAGTGAAGGAAAAAAAATTAACAAAATAGTTTCAAACTTCAGAAACTCTCCAACACTGAGAACCACTTTTATCATTTCTCCCCGACCTGGATCCCATGCTTTGAAAGAATTCTGGCTAATAAACACACTGCATTAAAATTGTTTTAAATTCCTTGTGACTTTGATACATGCTAATCAGAATTTCTAATCAGCATCAAGCAACCCTTGTTGCCATGTTGAACTGTAATAATTCTAGCCACAAACAAGGAATATTGAAGTTTTTGTTTGGCTCTACCATGGGGGTTCTTAAACCTTCCTGGGCTGTGGATCACAATGACCCATGAAAGTTTGTGGGCCCTTCTCCACATCCATATTTTTCATTCAGTTTTGGAGGGTACACAGGATTCAGCGAGTCAATTGTAAATAACAAATTCAGAACTCCTGATACACAGCCTTGTTCTTGATTAATTTGTCAACTCTGTTTGGCGTTGTGAAACAATCAAAGTTTCTACAGGACAATTATTATTTGCTTTGAGTATCCTTGGGAAGGAGTCACTGGATTCACATAAACATTGTTAACTTTGGGAGGTAGGATTTGAATGGAGCGTCTTCCTCTTACAGAAAGTGAAGTCATTTGATCGTGTTAAATCACAGAATTTCTTGGTCCACCCAGATTGTCTTAACTACTGCAAAATTAAACAAAGGCTTGTCTTTTTCCTTGTTCAGTCAAGTTTATATAGAGCTGGAGGGTTTGGTTGAATAGATATGCGCTCAGATTCTTCTTTTCTCTTCTTCCTCTTTTTTTAATTGTTTGATATTACTTAGGTAAAAGTCACCCAGAGTACAGAGGGCCACGATCAACCACAACTGATAAAAATACTGGAGAAAGGAGAATATTTTGGAGAAAAAGCTCTTATCAGGTGAATGCATGACTTTATATATCATATTAAAATAATTCTTTGATTGTTTTGTATGTGCAACCACTCACGTAGAGTTGTCAAACTGAGCTGCCAAATCAATGGTAGCCAAAGTCCAGGAATTAAACAAAAATTATAAACTAATGTCTAAAAAAATTCATTGCTGTGAAGCAAATAAGTGTACTATTTTTGCCCTAGAAATAAATTGAAAAGTCTTAAGTTTGTTAGTGAAAATAAGATGCTGTCTTAGAATTTTTAGTTTAAAAAAGAGAGAAAAAGATTAAAGAAATGAAAATTTTAATTTTCTCTTACAAATGAAATTTTATATTTCCAGGTTTGAAATATTGTTGTTTTCCCCCTTTAAAAAAATATCAGATAACTACTTTACATACTCTGTGTGCTTTTTAATCATCATGACTCATGACAAAAGTTATATTTTCTTAAGAATTTTTATCAACTCATTTTGCGAGTTTCAGAAACAACTTAAAATTATGTATTTGAAATTTCTACCTGAACCTTAGGTCTTTTGAGGTATGAATTTATTTATTTATTTATTTATTGTTTTTTTCATGGTTTTTTTTGTTGTTGTTGTTAGTTTCAGGTGTACAGAACAATGCAATAGTTATCCTTTTCACCCTCACAAAGTAACAACCCCTCTCCCCCGGAGTTTATTTATTGTTGATCTGCCTTATGGAAGAAATATTTATAAAGGTTAATCAAGTGGCTCAGGAGATATTTTTTACCTCCTGGAACTCAAGAAAACTACCTCAAAATGGAAGAAATATATTTTCATAAATGTAAATAACTTTTAAAAGATCAAGTTAAAGTTTCGAGCAATACCTTCTTTTGGAGTCATATGTTTTTAAATAATACTTGAAATTAGTTCAGAAATGCCTTAAAATTTATATTATTACTAAATGCTTTCACTTTATAAATAAAATAAAATCATATGCTCATAAAAAAGAGTAGTATTTCTCTTTATTTGTATCTTCCTCCTAAGTCTTGTCTAGAAAGCCTCAGTTCCGCTGATTTGTAGGTCAGGATTACACAAGGACAGAACAAACAAAAAGTATTCATAAATTAATATCTGAAGATAAATTTTGTTGTTTAGAAATCATAAAGCTCTGATTTTAAAAATAAAGTTCAACTATTTAAATTTAATAAGTAATGGTTCTTATGTAAACAATTTAAAAATGAAATTTAAAGACAAGTTGAATTTTTCTTTCCCATTTGCTAGCTGGTAATGAACATATTTCAATATCAGAGAAATTGTTGTTTTTTTAGTTTAGAATAGAAGACATTCATGTAATAGAATCATGTAATGTCATTATTCAAGACTTCAATGTATTTGTTCTTAAATTTGTGGATTATTCTTTTCATACGTCCAAGCAAAACAACTAAAGATTGAAAGTGCAGAGAACTTTATAAATGTACTATAGAGTCAAAGCAGCTTGTGAAAGAAAATATGCTATCTAGTTTTGCTAGATCTGAAATAATTGATGGTGTATGTTTCAGCTAGCCAATTATAGTGTTTTCCCATGAGAAACCTGGGAATCTATATTTAATTTAAAGACCCAACTCCCCAAAGTATTTGAAAGCATAAAGCAAAAACCAATGAGAAGGAAAGTTGAATACAAATATTTTTTACACTTTTGTGTATTTTTATGCATTGCTTCTTAGGGTCACTGACTGTGAGTCAATATTCCTTAAATTCTGTATATTTCCATAATTTGACATTAAATAGTCCCAAGAGTTCGTTCAGAATTCTATGTGCAAAAATAAATCCATGGCACTTACACAGTTATTATGAAAGAACATGTATATATTTACAAACTTCTAATACTTATAAAGTGTTTGCAAAGAATATTCTAGTCAAAATAATGACACTGAGAGATGAAAAGGATGCCATACCTCTCTCTTCTTTTTGAAATCCCAAATCAAATAGTTGGCCCACATCCAAGGTCATATCTGTCTCTATATCTCTATATCTATAGATATGTACACACATACAAGCTGAGTACAAACTACCCAGCTCCCAACCCAACAAGCTGAAATTTTTTCACAGATATCTTCCAGCAAGGACCTTGTAAAGTTGGGAGGGACTGTGGGTCATGTCAGAAGGTCTCTGGATGCCAGCTATGTGGATAGGGGATTTCTGTGGAATGTAGAGGTGGGCTTTCAAGGTTCTTTGCCCCATCACCAAGAGAAGATGAAAGAACTATACTTTGGGTGATGCCACTTTTGATGAAGTTGCTTAGAGCAGTATCAATATGCTTGCTATTCCAGGTTACCATAAATGAATTTCAGAGCACTGGGCACCATATGGGTGTACATTTTTTCAGTGTCTTTAGTTTACAACTAATAGAGGGAGGAAACGAGTATAAATTAAGGTCTCTAAAGAAATAGTTTAGCCAATGCTTAACAGATTGGTAGGCATTAGGTTTTAAATTTATCATCATTAGATCGTATGCCTTAATTCATTGTATTTAAGATATCACTTGTAAGATGCAATATTATGAACCCCTGAAAAAGAAAGACAATGTTGTTAATTACATAATGACTCAACATCAGTTGTAAGACAAACTCTGATTTCAGAGATTTTAATGCAAAATGTACATATTAGATCCTATAAAATTAAAATATTTTAGTGTTATTTAATTTATAGAGTGTTAGGGCACTAAAACAATTCTTTGGGTTTTATTCTTGATTGGGTTATTATATGTTAATTACTTGAATATTTTCCCAATAAATTTTTTCGATCAGTTAATTTCAGTTTTGCCTGACAATTAATTAGCAATTCCTCTTTGAGCAGAGGAGTGCTGTTTTATTTTGGCAGACACAAGCACAGAATGAGATTCCATACACAGTTGCAGTCACTGATCCCTCTCTGTCCCCAGTGCAGTTATCTTCTTCTCCTCTGAATTCCTTATATATGTAACCTTTACTGGAACACATTTCAAATCTTTTTTTTTTTTGGAAGGAGTAGAGTATAAATAATGATGTTAAAACAAAGCATAGTCTTTGAAAGGTTTAAGAGATAGTGTTTCACACCAAGTGGCAGATTCCCTAATAAAAATAGATGTTTAATTTCTAATTGTAGAAAATTGACTTTCCTGTTTTTGTCTGCAGTGAAGATGTCAGATCAGCTAACATTATTGCTGAAGAAAATGATGTCGCATGCCTGGTTATAGATCGAGAGTGAGTATACTGATATTGTTCGAGAAGGCAGGCTCCTGTCACCTTTGAAGACATGGCCTTCTGTTATTCCGAGGGCCCATCTGTCTTCTCATTCATTTCCACTTGGAAATGCTGGCCAATCCTCAGCTGTGAGGACATTCTATTAAAATTCATGGGAAAAAACTGGGCCTTCTGATCTGTCTGTGGCAGTGGCAGATGCTGGCAGACTAAATATTTTGTGGGCAAAGTTTGTACATAAATATCAGTAATAGATTTAAATTTTGCATCTTCCAGAGAAATAAGCTTGTTCTTGCTCATGGATTTTTTCCCACACACAATATAATGAACCATTTCATAATTTATTTCTAAAATGCTCTAATCAGTCAAAAAATTTTTTGAACAAAACCAACCTCTCTCAGACAAAATATAAAATACTCATTAGCTATATATATTTCCAGAGTAGTTTTAATTTACCATTTCTAGTAATTTGCAAGTGATGCATATCAATATTAACCTCTAGATGCCTTAGGTTATTTTCCAGAACAAGTCTCATTTTGTGTCCTAAACTCACTTCAAATCATATTTGAATCTGGCCCTTGAATCTCATCAGTTAGTTGAATATTTATTGATTATCTAGTTATAATAAAGACAATTCAAATATACCAAAGCTAGGCCATTGTTTAAGAAAAGTCAGGGCTGAGTGGCTCGTTGGTTAAGAGTTGGCTTGGGAGCACGAGCTCTGAGCAGCAGGGACACCGGTTCGGATCCCACATGGGCCAGTGACCTGCACCCTCTGTAGCTAAGATGGTGAACAACAGCTCGACCTGGAGTTGGGCTGCCGTGAGTCACCAGCGATGGTGTAGGCTGTAGTGGGTCTGCAGTGGGCCACTGTAAGCTGCCGTGAATGGCCATCCAATGGCTGGCAACTGATCAGCCTCACCCAGAAAGAGCGCAAGGATAATACCAACATGGGCCAGTGAGGTGACATCCTCCACAACTAGACTGAAGAACAAAAGGACAGCAACTTGTCTGTTCCCCTTTCCCAATTCCCCAAAGCTGTTCCCTCCCCCAATTCCCCAATAAAATCTTAACAAAAAAAAAGAAAAAAAAGTCATAGTGTAGTCAAAGAAATAGGGCATACTTATATGAAATATTAACAAAAAATAGTAAAATGACAAAAGGTATGACAAGGGAGTATACAGTTGATTATTTAATACAACATTCACTGAACATAGAATCATAGAGATTTAGAGCTGGTAAGAACTTTAGAACATTTAAAAAATTGTTTTTATTATGGAAAATTTCAAATATATTAAAAAAATAGGCAGGGTGGTATTCTGAACCTCATAATACAAGTTCAACAATGGTCACTTAATGCCTTATCTATACCACTTTATCATCCCCTGCCTACCTTCTCCACACTATTTTTAAGCAAATTACAAGCATACAATTATTTCATCTGTAAATTTTAGTAGTGTCTCTAAAGGCTTAGTATTATTTATAATGCATGACCACAATAACATCAACATGCCTAAAAAGTTAATAATTCCTTTTTTACTTGCTATTTTTATTGAGATATAATTGACATATAACATTATATTAGTTTCAGATGTACAACATTCAATATATGTATGTATTACAAAATGATCGCCACAATAAGTCTAGTTAACATTCATCACCTCACGTAGAGCAATAATCCCTAATATCACTTCCTGTGATTTTTTTTTTTTTTAAGATTTTTTTTGGGGAATTGGGGGAAGGGGAACAGACAAGTTGCTGTTGTTTTGTTCTTCAGTCTAGTTGTGGAGGACGTTGCTTCACTGGTCCAAGTTGGCACCATCACTGCACTCTTCCCAGGCGAGGCAGATCAGTTGCCGGCTTCTGGACGGCCGCTCACCACGTCTGCTGGCCACTCATGCTGGCTGCTGGCTACATATGGTAGCCCATGGCAACCCACCTGCCATCACCGCCCACTCCTGGCAGCCCAGCTCCAGGTTGAGCTGTTGTTCAGCATCTTAGCTGTAGAGGGCAGTGTCACTGGCCCTCATATGTGGGATTGGAACCAGGGCCCTCTGGCGTCCCAAGCCAGCTCTTAACCAACGCGCCACTCAGCCGGCCCAACTTCCCGTGATTTTAGTTTCTCCATTATAGATAAAAAAAGCAAATTCCAGCTAAGTTAGAGAATTGCCCCAGCAGTGCCATCTGTGATGGAGCAGGGGTGCCTACCTAGGCCTCCCCATTCCTCAGCATCCTTTTCACCATGCCATTCAACTCCCACAGTATGTGTTCTGAAAGAGAAGCACTCATGGTACAGTAAAGTGGGCAAGGTTTTATTTCATTTTTTTAAGTGTAGAAATGGGCTTAAAAATAAGTAGATTTTTAGGCAAAGAGGAAATGTGGAAGTCACTCCAGGTGGAGTAAAATTTAAAAGCAAAGGCATAGAGCTAGGAAAGTACAAAGTATGTTAAGATAAAGGTCATCTTTGGAAGCCAGCTCTGAAATGGAATATATATATTGGTACAGTATTGTCCTGATAATGCATTGTTTTGTGTATGAGTTCCTTAAAAATATATGTATGCACTGAATAATAGCATTAACTGTGTGGTAAAGTCTTAGAAATTGCTCCAAAATGCTAAGACTAAAAACATAATAGAAAGGAAAAACTCCTTTCCTTTCCTTTCCTTGTAATCACATAACCAAATATTTATACAATATCTCATATATTCATAACCCATGAAAAGGATGCAATGGCTTAATAGAGTTTATACATTATTTGGAAGTTTATAATTTTAAAACATTTAATTTGCATGTGAATAGTTGAGATTCTATAATATGCAAAGTACTGTGTTAGACACAATAAAACATAAAAAGTCACCTGAATTTATTTCATAAATTCTATGGGTAGGGGAGACTGAATATCAAGTCTGACTATGTTGACCTACATCCTGGATTTCCTGAGATAGTCCTAAGCATATTTACTATTGGCACCTGCTTTCACTCTGGAAAGTGTTCAGTTTGGATGACAAATTATATGATCTTTCTAGCTATGACTTATAGACTGGATTAATATCCATAATTGTCCCATAGAACCCTATATACTCTCATCATATTCACACCTTATTTAATTGCTTTATTTAACATCTGTCTTCCCATTCTTCTGTAAGCTCCACGAGTACAGAAGCATTTACTTGTTCACTGCTGTGGCACTGTCAGTATTGGACATAGTCTTGGGCATACCGGAAGTGCTCAGCAGATGTTGGCTGAATAAAGTGCACTATCCTTGTGATGAAATATAGTGACTGAAAGCCTGTGGCTTTTTATTTCTTCTTTCCTAATTGATTATTTTTTTTAAATGCACAGAATGAATACATTACAAGGAGGAGAGTTAACGTTTGAGCTATATTTCCTATTTTTAAACGTAATAAAATGTATGAAATAATTGCAGGAAATGTCAACAGCTTTTAATGAATGGAAGTGTTATTTGTGCCATTGCTATTACTGTTTGGTTGTTGGGACAAATCTCAAGGGAGTTGCTGAATTACCCCTCAGGCTATAACGTCAGTAGGAAGACTGGCTGTTTGAATGTTACAGGTAGAATATTGTAGCTGTTTAAAGTTGAGTTTAAATTTAGTTTTCAGAGAATTTTTAAAGGACTTGTGACACCAGTGTCACCAACATTTAAAAATTATGATTTACTTAAAACAATGCTTCAATTAATGTAATAGGAAACAAAATAATAGTGATATGTAGCACAAAAACAAGAAGCATAAATAAAAGTACAAGAAGTATTTCCTTTTTACTTGAAAATTTAACCATTGGAAGTTAGAAATGTCATGACAACACTGTTTTATTTCCTAGCACTCTACACTCAACAAAGGACAGTCCACAGAAAAGGGTGAAAAAGAGTGGAGGGTTGATCTGGAGGGAAAAATGGAAAATATCCACCACAGTATATAGATATGCTTAATAATGTAATTATAAATTGGTTGCCAAGTAATTGTGGCTAGAGGCCTTCTGGGCTACATAGGCAGTAATTTTTGACAGTTTATTAATGAGGTGACTCTGGTTCATTAGTTGTAGGTATTTTGAGGTAAATTTTCATTCCTTTCATTTGCTACATGGTTTTGACAAGGACATTATTTTGAAGTAGGGAAACATAGGGATACTAGTTTGTATTAGTACTCTAATAATCAGAAATCAAGATAGTTGTCCAGTGTGGGGGCAGGGAAGCATTGGAATAATCAATAAGGATGATCAAGAACATAGCTTTCACTGGTGAAGAAGACTATTTTGTCTCATGGGCGGTGCTATTCGTAAGAATTCCTGGAGACAACAGACTGAGCACATGGAGATTAGATGAGGCACATGACAAACCTGTGATCCTTGATGGCTGATGGAGGTCAGGAGGAGATATTGGCTGAAACTCACAAGTACTAGGTAAAGGCAAAAAAAAAATGGATTCAATTATGAAGGAATGTGGAAAGAGTAGTATCTAGGGATTAGGAAGTTTTATCTTTGATTTTTAAAATAAATAATTTGATTGAGCAAACTTAGAAAATCTATTACCTATGTAATGTGTTGATTCAGTAAAAAGATGATGTAGACTATTTCCTTTCCACTGTCTTCTTAAAAAAAAAGAAAGAAAGAGAGAGAAGGAAAGAAAGAAAGAAAGAAAGAAAGAAAAGAAAGAAAGAAAGAAAGAAAGAAAAGAAAGAAAGAAAGAAAGAAAGAAAAGAAAGAAAGAAAGAAAGAAAGAAAGAAAGAAAGAAAGAAAGAAAGAAAGAAAGAAAGAAAGAAAGAAAACGTTGTTGGTAAACCTGAACTGCAGGGCAGAAAACTATACAAATGTTTTATCACTGGTAGCCTCTTGGCTTTCATAAACTCAAAGGATCAGCTATATAACTTCTAATAACTATTCTACAAATTACAGCAACACTAAATACATAAATTACTGCAAAACAAATTACAAAGCCTTGAATAACCATACACTTAGTCTTGTATGAGCTTAAGAAAAATGTCAAGTTGCAATGGTAACTATTATCACAGAGCTTTTGATTTAATTTAATTTTGTTTATTTAGAACGTTCAACCAAACAGTTGGGACTTTTGAAGAACTCCAAAAATACCTTGAAGGGTATGTGGCAAACCTGACCCGTGATGATGAAAAAAGACATGCAAAGTAAGTGAAGGAATAGTTCCCTAAGCTGGATATGACTTCAGCAGTTGATGAAGAAGTGGACCAAAGGGTGTGACTCACTCTGCTGTCATGTTTAGCATGCTTTCACTAGAAAATTTGGGGCAGTTCTTTTTAAGCTGTCTTCCACAAAGAGGATGCCACTTACCACTACTATGGATATTAGTTTATAAGTAGTCAGCTCCTTATTTTGGGTGATGAGTAGTAATGGTAGGGAGAAATTTCCTGATGGGGGTCTTGGAAAAGGGATTCTTTACATTGTCTGGTGACTTAGCTCAAAAGGACATTAATTCAGAAATAATGCCTCTCTTGCCCATGGAAACCAAAGAGGAATGCCAAGGCGCTAGTGTAGCCCATTCACTCTGATTTCCAGTTAAGAACTAGCAGTGTATTCAAAATTATTTCAATATATAAGGGAGCTATTGCCAAGGTGTGTGTGTGTGTGTGTGTGTGTGTGTGTATGTGTGTGTGTGTGTGTAAGAAGGAGTTGGATACAACTCTAAATGTAGTAATACTGGTGACACATTTTTTGTTTAATAGAAAAATCTACTTTGTAAAATTAAAATTGTTTGAAAATCCTTTGCTAAAACTTTTGTAAATACTTAAGCGTATGTTCACCAGACAGTACAATCGAAGCTGAAGAGTCAAAGATCAAGAAAACTGACATTCGAGTTAAATCAGAGGGTTCAATCAGGACCACATCAGGTTTTTGTTGGTTGGCTGGTTGGTTGGGTTTTGTTTTTGTTTTTGTTTTGCAAGGAATGTATTTGCAATTTTTGTGCCAAAGGCCTTTTTGTAGTAACAACAATTTATGAATATCTAACCCAGAGCAGTAAACCTTAAATAAAAGAGAAAAATGAGTATTTCCAAATAACAGTACTTAGACATGAAGAAAGAAATGTGTTTTTTTATGTTTCAAAAAGCAGTTATTCTGATTTAATCATAGAAAGCTTTAAGATCTGACAAAAAGAGCAGAACGCGCAAAGATTCTCAGTGTGGCGTTCTCCCGTATGTGCCGCAAAGAAAATGGCTCTCCGGATCTAGTTCCTCTGCTTTATTGAGATATACCACCCAATTCACCTGTTTTTACCTCTCATTGATTCAGTTTCACATTTGTCTATTTCTCATTGTGTGTGTGTGTGTGTGTGTGTGCGTGTGTGTGTGTGTGTGTGAGTTTTTTTGTTTGTATATTTTATTGCTTTTCTCCCCAGATCTGACTGAATCCAATCCTATAAAAGTTGAAATAGCCTTTGTGGCAACTGTGGCCAGTAATTGCTCAGAAATGAGACTGCTGTAAGAGAGGAATGTATGTGTGGCGTGACCCCTGCTTCACTCAGGGAGTGTATGTAAAGTGTTGCTTTTCTTGTGCAGGAGGTCCATGTCTCACCGGAAGCTGTCCAAAGCTCTCTCTCTGGAGATGATTCAACTGAAGGAGAAGGTGGCCAGATTCTCCTCATCATCTCCATTCCAGAACCTTGAGATTATTGCAACACTGGGCGTTGGTGGGTTCGGAAGAGTTGAGCTTGTAAGGGGTTTACGTTTCAAGCATCTGAGAGAAGCCTTTTGACTTTTTTTTTGTTTTATATTCCAGCATATCGTGGAGGAATGTATGAATTATTATTGCTCATTTAAATGTTGCTTTGAACTGACATTGAGAAAGTACACTGTTCAGTCTATATGTTGTATAGTAGCATGTCTGTGCTAGTAAGTAACCTGTAGCTATTTCAAGCTTCTTACATCACACCCTTTGGTGAATTATTTTCTTGATGGTAGTTATTGGAGAATGGACCAAGTAGCATTGCCAAAGACTATAAAACATTAAAAATACATTTCCTAACAGCAAAGGGTGTGTATACATACACTCATGACACACGAACTGTCTGTATACTAAAGAAAAGAAAAACGTGTCCAGTGGAAGTGCTGTAGAAACATAATCTTCAGTATAATGGGTCCATCTCTTAAACAACTTCACTACCAAGACTGTCTTTGGCTTTTATTATTCTATTTTTGGTTGCTCAAAGTTTTTGATCAGAAAAAAAAAGAAAAAACATGTGAATGCAGGGGAATGTTTGAAGCCTTTTTTAGTGTTCATCAGGACAGCTGGAAACGTATGGCCTGATTTTGGCTGGATCGTCCTCAGAGTGCTACTGTCAGAGCAAGTGCTCTGAGGAAATGATAGAATGGAAATCTGTGACCTTATTAGATACAGATGGTTCTGAACTCTTGGCAATTACCAAGCCCTTCTTTGCCCAGCAGATTTTCAATGATTCTCTGTACATTAACCTCCGGGAACTATGCTGACACTTCTGTTTGCTGGATAGCCCTGGGCGTGAACAGATCTGAAATGCTGCCAGGGGACTACAGATAGTATACTTCACACCCAGTCAATGCTTCATGTCTGATGGGTGAGGTGGGAAGAAAGGATTTCTTATTAGGCCAAAGAATATTTATAATGTTTCTTACTCCGTTTGGAGAGATGAGGGCAATGTCCGTCTGCAGTGATATTGTTCATCAAAGATCTTGGCAAAAGGATTGAATTAACAGTACCAAGATCTGTTTTTTTCTACAGTTAGATAATATTAATTGAAACAATAATTCCACCACTAAGTTAAAAGTCATAGGCAGCACCAATGGCAAATGTGAGAAACGTATGAGGTGCAGCCATTTCTGCACAATTTAATTACCTGTCAACTCTAGTCTGTTTATGTAGTTTTAAGCCTATCTGAATAAACACCTATTAAAATAATTTAATTTCCTTTTAAGGGAAACTTCTGTATGTCCATCTAGAGCAGTACTCTCTAAAAGAACTTTCTGTGCTGAGGAAAATGCCCTATATCTCCACTGTTGATAGGGTCACCACTAGCTAGATGTGGCTAGTGCTACTGAGGAACTGAATTTTATTTTTAATTTAAAATTAAATAACCTCATGAGACTAGGGGCTATCACATTAGATAGTGCAGATATAGTTCTTGATTTATTATGTTTTGTTTTGAAAATCAAAGAAGTGAATATTAAGAAAGAACAATTTGGGGCAATTCTGTTTGAAGTTTTTCATGTCACACTCAAAACTGAATAGATTTCTAAACATTAAATCTTCTAACTAGAGGTTGTTTTTTTCCTTATTTATCAACAAATATTTTAGAACCACATTCCAATTATGTGAACTCTTTTGGAAATTACAATGAAGGGGAAATGTGTATGCCTCAATAAACTCAGTTGTTGGAGAAGTTAAGGTTAAAACTTACATACTATTCAAATGTGCAAGCATTTTAACTCTCCTTAGTGTACATGCTTTATAGAGATGTAAATCTTTCCTAGAAAGATAATTTTGAGGGATCTTTCTCTTCTTACATAGGTTAAAGTAAAAAATGAGAACGTTGCTTTTGCTATGAAGTGTATAAGGAAGAAGCACATCGTTGACACCAAGCAACAGGAGCATGTCTACTCAGAAAAGAGGATCCTGGAGGAGCTGTGTTCCCCCTTCATTGTAAAGTGAGTGAGCTTCCAGAGCTTAGGATTTTAGGCTCTTCTTGTGTTTCCATGTGAGAGGATGGATGGGGGACTAAGACGCGGTCCCACTCTGAACTCTCCCTGCCAGTCACAGCAGCAGCACATACAGTGTTCAAGATTGAGATCTGGAATCAAGCACCTAGATTTTTTTTTTCTTGAGTAATGTCAAAAAAATGTGTGTGAGAAAGAGAGAGAGAATATAAAACTATTGCAAAATATCTGAATTGATTATTTAATCCGGACCTAATGCAGAATTTGGGAAGCGAGAATCCATTTGAAACCCATCAGAGAGCGTGCAGCTGTTGAATTTCTGCAAGAAGAGGCATTAGAGCACATATGAGCTGCCAAGGAGCAACAGGCTGTGGTCCTGGCAGTGCTTAGATGCTGCCAAGTCCGCCTCCTAACAGTTACTGTCTATCTGTAGCTATCACCAGAGTTTGGAAACGAAATGTTTTTCTAGGTCACAGCTGTCTTTACTTGTGAATTCATGGGTTAGTGGTATAAGCAGTTCGTATTTTTCAGATATGTCTTACTGCCCCAGAGTGTAGCTTTAGTAATTTCTGGGTGATATAAAGTGTCCTTTCAATGAATAGAATTTCTACTTTGTGATCAAATGCCTTGAGAGAATATCTTTGCCAATCCATATTCCTAATATATATTTTTTTCAAGATTAAAAAAGAAGTCTGAAGCCAGGCAACAATGGCAATAAAGTCATCCTATTATCTTTATATTAACTATGTTCCCAAAATACATTCCCCTCTTTTCTTTTAATCAATAATTCAATAAGCAGCTGCAGGACATGAATTAAGTTTTATTCATTTCTCATTTCCAGCTCTTTACCAGGTTCTTTGCATATAGTAAGGTAGTAATGATATTAAGAATACATACTAATGACCACATTTATTGAGAAATTAACATGTGTCAGGCAGTCTTCTAAAGCAGTATATATATAACATACATGTAAAATACAAATACAGAGGGTGCCCAAAAAATGTATACACATTTTAAGAAAGGAAAGCTGTATTAAAATTGTAAACTCAATATATACCGATAACAGAAGATGAATACAAGTCACGTTTGACTTCTGCAATTACGAGAGGTGCTCAAAGTGGTTACCATCAGTGTCCAGGCACTTCTGATTACGGCGAACTACTGCTTGAGCAACATTGACCAAAGCGTCCATTCGTATACATTTTTTTGGCATCCCCGGTATATTTATTTATTTTAAAATTATTTATTTATTTTATATATAATATATAGATATATAGAATATCTATTAATTTAATATATAATCAATAATATATGATCAATACATAATGAAATGAATATATGTATTCATTTAATCTTCATCATAGAACAATGAGGTAAGTGTTATGATTGACCTCATTGAAGAAGAACAATAAGAAAAGTGAGGTGGTATAGCTAATAAATGGCCAATCAGGGATTCACCTCTAGATAGCTGACTCCAGAGCCCACATGGAACCACTGTACCAGGCTGCTTCTGCTGCCTGTGCATGGTGTAACCTGGGCATGATGCTAGGGAGAAAAGGGGGGTCTTTTGATTAAGACCCAGAAGCTGCTTTCACCTAATGTGGAAACACGGTACCCTGTCCAGGTCTCACATCAGGATTCAGTTTGTCACTTCCCAAGATTCTGGGAGTGCTGCCAACTGAGGAATCTGGCTCAGTCCCTCTCTTGCCATTGCTCATAGATGAAGAGAAACCCCTTGCCCAAGATCATACTCTCTCGCCAGGTACATCCTGCATCCAGTTATGGCAGAGCTCCTTGAAGCTGAGGCTTTTGTTGAAACTAGATGATAGCCCAACTCTCCCTCTGCCCAAACCTTCTTCCTTCCTCCCCCATGGGTGTTGTTCTCAAGTGCACTCCCCGTTAAATTTACAGCTTACAAGCCTCTGTCTCAGAGTCCACTTCCTGAGACCAACTGGAGGATATAAGACATGGGGATTAATAACTGTTATGCAAGGCAGATCTTAAGGAAGATATATGCAGAGTTCTCTGGATTTTCGGAGGAAGAAGAGACCGTATTTAGTAGTTGGGATAATGAGCTGCTTTATCAGGAAGGTGGCCTCTGAGCTTGGTCTTGAGGAATGGAAAACACTTTTACAGTGAAACTGAGATTAAGAAGTTGTCTGTGAGGAGAGGGAATCAGTCTAAGAGCAAAAGCAAGGCAGTAGGAAAGATCAGAGCACTCAGCAAGAAACCCAGGGTAACTGTACAATGTTTGGATGTTCAGAACGTTATTGATAATGCTCTTAAGTAACTTCAAAGAGGGCTTCAAACTAGATTTCTAATAATAACCATGTCTTTATCTGTCTCCACAGATTATATCGTACGTTCAAGGACAATAAATATGTATACATGCTTCTGGAAGCCTGCTTAGGTGGGGAGCTATGGAGCATATTGAGGGACAGGTAATGAGAAAAGATTACAAACAATAACTTCTGTCTACTCTCAACTGGTCTAAAAGATGCTGTATTCATGATCATTTAAAGAAACATGAAGGAAGCAGTTAAGATGTGATTCTAAGAAAATATTATGACTTAATAAAATAAAGTAGTAATAGTGATATTTTCTTAGCCAACATTGTAATCATGTCACGGGGACACTGTAAGGCAGTCATTGTCATTCCCACGTTACAGATTAAAGACTCCCAAGCTTAGAGAGAGAGAGTGAGCTACCCACGGTCATATAGTATGAGACAGAGTAGAAAGAAATAAACCCAGATGTTTCCGACTTCAAATCTCTAAGAAGGGAGTTGAAGAAAACGGTGAAGAGCAGTGAAGCCCTTCTGAAAAGCAGAGTAAGATGTCCACAAGGATTCAATTTTATGAAAGGGGTAGTTTCCGCACAATCAAAACCACCTATGCACAGGGCTCCATAGTAGATAATTGGGGGTTTTCTAGACAATGCAGATTTTTCTCATCAAAGGGTAAAGAGTGTAAACTTTTCCTCCAGTGAGTTTTGAGTTTTTTCAGGGAGGCAATGTATGTAATTTAAAAACATTTCTTTATTTAATGTGAAAACTAAGTATGCCAAAGAATTGGCAATTTGTAATTAAATGCCAAATGAGTGTGGTAGATAGTAAGCTCGGAGGAGAGGAAAGAGAGAAAAATGTGATAGTAGAGGAAGGACTTGAACTAAACTCTAAAGATGACCAAAATATGGAAAGACAGAGAGGAAGGGAAAATGATGTAAGATGCAGCAGGAATGTTGGGATAGGATTTGGTCTGTTTGTGGATGATCAACAGCAGAATTTGAATAGAAAATAAGGACAGCAGAAAAGGAGATGGCAAGGTAGGTTTACACTAGGTTGTGGGGCTTAATGCCAGGCATTTAGAAAATATTACCTGGACCAGTGGTTCTCAGCCCAAACTATACATTATAGTCACATGGGGAGCTTTTACAAAGTAAAAATGCTGGGCCCTGATGCCAGAGATTATGGTTCCATTCATCTGAGATAGGGTCCAGAAAGTGATTTTTTAAATGCTCCTCAGGCAATTCTAGTGCACATTCATGGCTGAGAATCACATGCCTAGGCAATAAGAGACCACTGAGCATCTGAGCAGAAGATGACAGTGCTGTATTAGGAACATATCGTCGGATGGATCTGAATGGGGAGAGCCTGGAAGGATGAGGAGACTTGCGTGATACCTGCAAAAGCCTTTGCATCTTCCATCTTTGCTTCAACATGCAAATCTATTGAGAAAATCTAAATCCATTTAAACAAGGGAGTTCCCACTTCCTGTTAGGCACTGTGTCTAATCCTCACAACACTGTGAAGTGAGTAGTAAACCCATTTTGTAGATAGGGGTCTGAGGGTCAGAACAGCTAAACGACTTGCCCAAGGACACAGTGAGTGGAAAAAAAAGGAGTCAAAGCCAGCCTTTCACTCCAAAGCCATATCAGTATTGTAAACCTACACACTATGCTGACACAGGACAACTCTAATATCATGAAGGTGCACCAAGTAGGAAAGAGTTATGACCTCATTTTTACTGATATTGTTACATGCTGTTCAAACAGGAAATGCAAATGATCACTTGAGTCATTTTTTCGTCAAGCAATCAATTACACACATCTGGTTCAAGCTTGCCATTGAAATGATTGCATTTTCTCCAGTGTTGCATTTTCTCCAGTGTTGCATTTCTCCATGAATATCTACAAAAACTTATCTTTCTATGTTCATGTGTAATTATCAGAAACAATTGTTTCGATGTGGACATTTTAATTTTAGTGAAGTAGTTCTTGTTTGCATCAAATATCCCCCTAAATTTCTTTATGATCAGCAGCCTAATTCATGGGCAGTATAAAGTGCTTTTTAGTGTTGATGTCCTAGAAAACATTAAATTGCATAAATTTACCAGTATAATAATTGGCACCTAGAACAGACAACAAAGAGATACATCTATAGTATTAAAAGGGAAAATGATTTCATTGCAGAGGCAGCTTTGATGAATCCACCTCCAAGTTCTGTGTTGCTTGTGTGACAGAAGCATTTGATTACCTGCACCGACTAGGCATTATCTACAGAGACCTGAAGCCAGAAAACTTAATTCTGGATGCTGAGGGCTACCTGAAATTGGTAAGTACAGTATCTTACGTACAGTATCATATGAGATATTTCCAAACACAAAATCATGTTATAGTTGCAATTTCTTTTAATTTTGGTGCACCTGTTATTTCCACTTTGGGACGACAGGATCTTTGAAATTGACACACATACCACAGGGAGCCGTGCTACAAGCACACTCTTTGGCCTAGGAATTTAATGTTTTAACCATATTTGTGACTCCTACTAGGGACTCACATAATAGAATGCCTTTAAAATTGGATTTTATTAGTATTTTTTGACTAATAGTTTTAACTAGGTTTTAAATAGATTCCTGCTACATATAGGGATTGGGTATAAGGGATAAAGAAAGAAGATGGCATAGCCCCTGTCCTGAGATACCCACTGTCTGTACAGAGAAGAACGATATACGTATAAATGTTGGTAGTTTTTTTGAAATCTTTCTAGTTGATCCTAAAGTACAACCAGGGTTGAGAATCACAACACTAGACTACAGGCTCCTTGGGGACAGAGACTTACCTTGCTATCATCTTTGTAATCTTCTCATGCCCAACATGAATCCTCTTGTATATCACACTAAAGAAAAAAATGCCACCAGTCACATAAACTGCTTTCAGTGAGAAACTACATTAGAACAGGGCAGTTATAATTTAGGAGAAGCCAAGGCTCCTCAGACCTTGGGAGGGAACCCCTTCAGGATGGGGTTCCAGGCTGAGTTTTCCTGAGTTCATTTTGTAAGCACCTCAAGGACATTAAAGCATCACTGAGCTTAACATTTACAAATATATTAAAAGTTTTTCACATCAAAACTTTTATGTATGGAAATAATAATAACTACCATTTAATGAGCAGTCAACTATCTGTAAAGCTACTGTGCTAAACATTTTGCAATTAATATATTTAACAATTGATGAGACAGTTTTTCTCATCCACATGTTACAATGTATAATTTAGTCTTAGGAATTAAATTATATGTAATTGCTAAGCAATTTCTCTCCATAGTAAAGGAGTAGAGTCCTTTCATGTGAAATCTGGCTGACTCCCAAGAAACATATTAATCCATTCAAGCCTTATCTTATCCATGAAAGACAGCTTTGAGAATTGGTAAGGTACTAACACAAGGCCTCAAGCACTCCTTTCCTTCACAATTCCTTCATTAGCGATGCCTCTCACAGTGCTTTAGGGAAATCCTTTGGAATATTCTAGAAGTAAAAATATCATGAGAGGTGCAGATATCCATTAGGTTCATTTCTTTTTTTATATCTGTTTTTAAAATATTCGATAGCATATTCAATATTTATAGTCATAGAGGTCAGTAAATATCTCTCCTGTTAGCCATTATTATCCACCCTGCTAACTCATTTATTTGCCAACCAGATACACGAAGGTTATTAAAGCCTTTAGAAATTAAAAAGTAAATGTTGGCTATTTTCATTTCTAGCTATATATCAAATTAGATGTCCTGAAATCCTCTCACTACAAAATGTCTAAAAATACTGGATGGAACATGAAAACCAGTATTATATGCATGGCTGGATTTATAAGACAGCACTGGGATTCTCCTGAGGCTGGGAACCAAGCTTTAGCAGTAGCATAGGGTGGAACTCAAACACTGGAGCTGCTGTCTTGTGGGCACCCAGCAATTCTAGGGGGCCTAGAGGTTTGATTGTATTAGCTGCACCCTCTCCGAACAGGAGACCAAGTTTTGGACTTGGGCAGTGTGGGAAGTGGAAACAGAGAACATTGTACAGAGCCAGGAATCACACAGATTGCACTCTCAGAGAAATAGAAAACAAGAAAAAAGTATTTATAAAGACAGAATAAATGCAAGAAAACACGCTTTTCTCATTATTGGACTCTTAGTAGAGAAACAGAGGTCTCCTCTAGGAATTCTTGGCCACAGGCTGGTCTTCATGAAGGTTGGGTGCCCAGTCTTCGTGGATGGAAAAACCCAAGTGATATTTTGAATGAAAATGGAGCCATGTTGGTAGCATATACAAGTGTTCAAGACTGTGTGCACATTCTCTCTGGAAGAATGTACTTTCAACTTAGGATTCTCAGAGATTAAGTTGCAGGGAATATGAGCTCATGTTTAAAAAATAAAATTTAAAAATGTATGAGAGAAAAAAGTACCATGAATATTTTATGTCCAGCACATAAGTGTTTCATATATTGGAGTAGTCAGATAAAAATTATAAAATAAATACACCTAATGCCTTTTAAAAATAAGAGAGGAAATAACACATGAGCAAGGAACAGAGTCTGTCAAAAAAGATCTAACAGGTTTAAAAAAAAAAACTAACAAATAAATCTTCTGTTTCTGTTAAGAAATTAAGACCATAATTGAAATTCAATATTCAATGGAAGTTTTCATTAATGGTGGAGTAGCTTGCTTTGGAATAATCTTTCTGACATTAATTATAATATATGTATAAAATGTGTGAAGACATTGGAGAACAACAAAGAGTAGACTTTCAAACTTTGAAAAAAAGGAAGGAACCACACTGGGTCAAATCCACATTGATACAGCTGTTTACAGCTGTTCATTTCAGGGCACTCCTTATTGTATAAGGCACGGGGGGTAAACCTTTAGTTAGCATCATATTTAACAGTGACATGTTTAACACTTTCCATTAGATTGTGAACAAGGCAAGAATATTTTCTCTCATTACTTTTTTCAACATTGTAACAAAGGTCTTAGCATATGAAATAAACCAAGAAAAAGAAATGAAAAACCAAAGATTAGAAAGGGAGAACTTACTTGTCTTTATTTGTGGATGACATGATTGTTTATGTAGAAAAGCCTAAAGAATCTACCAAAAAAGTACTAGAAAGAATAAGTAAGTTAAATATGATCATAGCTACACAGTCAATATATAAATAAAAATTCTGTTTCTATATACTAGCAATAATTTTTTATAAGTTAAATAAAAATTCCATTTATAATAACATCAAAAATCAGAAAATAATTTTGAATAAATTTAATGTGTAAAAATGTATAAGACCTCAACATCAAAAACCAAAATAATATTGCTGAGAAAAAAAATTACTAAATGGTAAGATAGCCTATGTTCATAGATTGGAAAAGTCAATATTTGATAAGATGTCCATTCTCCCCAAATCTAAAGATTCAAAGCCATTGCCGTAAAAACTGGAGGAACCATTTTTTAGAAACTGAGATGTTTATTCTAAAATTTACACAGAAATACAGTGTTCAGAAGAGTTAACCACTTTGAAAGAAGCAATTGAGAAACTTATAATATCTTACCTCAGATTTACTATAAAGCTATAGTAATCAAGGCAGTGTGATAACAGTGTAAGGATAGAAAAGTAGCTTAATATAATAAAGTCCAGAAATAGACTTATGTAGTTAACTGATTTATAGCAAAAGAAGAAAGACTAGTCTTCTCAAAAGGTATTGCTGAAATATCTGAATATGAACCTGACTCTCACCTCACACTATATACAAAAATTAATTCTAGATGAATCCTAAGTCTATAAAGCATTCAGAAATAAACATAGGGTAATAGCTTCACAACATGGGGTAAGCAAAGATTTCTTAGAACACAAAGAGTAGCAATCTTAAAAAGTTCAGGCTGCTATAACAACAATACCATAGATGGCTTAACAAACATTTCTCACAGTTTTGGAGGCTGGACAGTCTAAGATCAAGGCTCTGATAGATCTAGTGTCCGGTTAGGGACAGCTGCCTATAGACAGCTGCCCTCTCACTTCATCCAGGGAGAGGTGGAGAGAAAGAGAGGGAAGAAGATAGAGATAGAGATAGAAAGCTCTCTCCAGTCTCTTCTTCAAAGGGAACTAATCCCATCGTGAGGGCTTTACCCTCATGACCTCATCACCTCCCAAAGGCCCCACCTCCAAATACCATCACATTGGGCATTAGGGTTTCAATATATGAATTTGGGTGGGGGACACAAAGATGCAGTCCATAATAATTGGACTTCATTAAAATTAAAATCTGATAATCAAAATATTATATTGTTCCAAAAATAAATAGACTAGCAGAAAATATTTGCAATATCTATTTATGACAATGGCCTTGATTGTATCCAGAAATGTATAAAGAGCTCCTACAGCTCAATAATAAAAAGATAACCCAACTGAAAAAAATGGTCAAAGATCTTGCAAAATTATTTCACCAGAGAAGACATAGCGATGATCAATAAGCCATATCAGTAGTCATGAAGGAAATGCAAATTAAAACCCCAAAGATTTATCATTTCCTACCCACTAGAATGATCAGAATTTAAGAGATTGACAGTACTTCCTAGTGGGAAAAGAAAATTGCAAACTGTTGAAAAAATAATTTTGTCTGTTTCTCAGAGTAAAACCTATGCCTGCTCTATGACAAGAAACTCCACCTCCTGGTGAAATTCCACTGCTTGTATTTATCCAGGAAAATTAAAATTATGTCTTCAAAAATCTTGGGCAAGAATGTTCATAACAGCTTTATTCCGAAAAGCCCCCAAATCAGAAACAGCAAATATCCATTGCCAATTGAATGTATAAACTTACAGTAATACATTCAGCAATGGAGTGCTGCTCAGCAGTGTAAAGGAATACTTTACAGCAAACAACAGCGTTAATGAATTTTAAACACTATGTTGAGCAAAAAAAGCCAGACACAAAAGAGTAACTTCTGCATGGTAACATCTATTGACATTCTAGAATAGATGGTAGAAATAAATACGATGGTTGCCTCTGGGAGGGCCATTTGACTGGAAAGGGGCAGGAGGGAACTTTCTGAGATATAGTGGGCATGTTTGTATTTTGACCAGAAGCTGGTTGTAGGTACATGAGTATAATCTGCTTTAAAATTCAATGAACTATACACCAAAAATATGTGCATTTTATTGCTTATATATTGTACATCAATTTGAAAAATGTAATAGGTTAAATAGCAGATGATTCACAAATAAAGAGAAAAATCAGTGAACTGAAAGATAAATTTAAATAATTCACAGACAATGTAGCATAGAGACACAAAAAGA